TGGTCAAAGCCAAATACCTCACCAATAAGCACAATTGTCCTTCATCGAGTGTGGAAATGCTTCACATGTTTAACAGGCAATGTGGAAGTGCAAGTATTAGCACCAGTAAAAAAAAAAAAAATTCACAACTTCTCCCACATTAAGCTGCACATTGGTGTTCATTTTTTTAGTGCTGCTTTGTAATTTTACATGGTTTTGCTCCTTGAATATTACACACTGATTGTATCTTTACTGTAGGTATTTTTCTAAATGCCCTAAATGGTCTAAAAGGCCTTTAACTCTTTTCCTAAGAGTCAGTGCATCACTTTTGCAAGATATAAACTGGTTTTCACATTTCACAGCTACAGGGGGATATCAAAGATTGGGTTTAGATAAGAAAACTTCTGCAGCTATATGTTGTTAAAGCTACAGTATGTAACTTTAAATGCTGTGGTTCAGCGGGTAGAGCAGTAGTCCCCCAACCGGAGGGTTGCAGGTTTGAATCTCTGTGTCTGCAGTCCACGTGTCGATGTGTCCTTGGGCAAGACACTGAACCCCACATTAGTTAGAGCCATCGGTGTGAGCTGGTGCCGCAGATGGCTGCCTCGGTTCTGTACCGGAAGCAAATTCCTTGTGTGTGTAACATACTTGGCCAAATAAAGGTGATTATCCTTATTATTATCCTTATCCTTAAGGTAGCGCTGGCAGATACTCCACATCAATCCACTCTGCTCCACCCAGCACTGGAATACAACAAAACTTACTGATCAAGCAGAAATAATTGAAAATCTCTGATTGGTTAGAGAGGTCAGTCCTGTTCAAAACCTTTTTGAAGCTAATATCTCTGCACTGCTGCCAGTGCTGTTCAATGAGTCTGGGTCACAGGAGGCCTCGACAGCACCTCTCCACATTAAGACATGTTTTGGAACAGATTCTTACAACACAAATATCTGAACAAAGTTGCACACTGTAGCTTTAAGATAAAAGCCAACACATAGAAGGCCAAACAAGACTTCTGAGTCTGTTTCACAGGTTTTGATTTAGGAGTGAAAACTGCTTTTCTCCATTTCAATTGGACCATCCAAGTGACTATGCTAATAAAGCTGAGCATTGCAAAAATTAAGATTGAAGCAGTAGATAAGGAAAACAAATCAGTGAAAGAACATGATTACTTAATGGTGTGTAAATGTTAATGAGAAGTCAGCCAACTGCAGGTGGTTATGATCTTTAGTTTCATTTCTTAACAATACTATCACACATTTTCCCTGGTTCATTGCTTCATATCAGACCAGTGACGTGGCTGACAGTACACTGCTCATCATGCCCGCAATTACAGCAGGACAATACAATCGCTAGTTAATCATAAACATCCTCTGTACAAAGCAACTTGTGCTTTGCCGTCTGCCTGTGTTAACTCACAGAGGTGCTGCACTTTGGACAGCTGTATGTGTGTGTGTGCTTGCTTGCTGACAATGTAGGAGGTACTAAATTGTGGTGGTGATATGCAACCCATCAACTGTTTGTGGCTGACACTTTAGCCTGCAGAAAGATTTAAAAGCTATAACTAAGACGTAGCCAGAGAACTAAAGATGTGTTTGCCCGACCCCCAGTCTATCAGCTTCGTTTGCTAGTTCCCAGCTAACAATGTTTGCTCTGCTTTATGGTCTCTCTGTTTGTTTTCTCCTTCACTGGAGCGACCACCTCTCAATCTCAGCAGCACTTGAGTGCTGCCACACTCGGGGTCGCTGGCTTGGAGCTTGGCCCACCCAGAATGCAGTACGTCAGACCATAGAGATAACACAACTGCTCAGGTGGTTCAGTGCAGCAGGGATATCACACACAGAGTTGTAATCTGCTATTAAATATGAGATCTTCCTGTAGATAAGCAGCTTTTCTCTGTTTGGCAGCTCTCTCCTCAGGTTTGTCAAGCTTTCCCTTCCCCCTCATCACACAATGAAATAACATATGACAGGAGAATAAAGGAGTGACTGTACTTTTTACTTCAGTTGGAATCTGATTCAACCATACGATATATAGATTTATTTCAGAAGGGCAGTACTGCAACAGAACTCATCAAGAGAACATGCCACATCTTTGTTTCCCCCATCAGGCTGTAGGTGGTAGACTGCATTGCTGATTTTCACAGCAGTAGTCTCAATTTCACACATTTGGGATGCAAATAAGCCACGGTCATTTGTCTGAAACGCCAACAAGAATTTATCCTGTTATTTGATGATGATATATAGTAGAACAAACGACATGAATTAATTTTATTGAGCCTATCATATATCAAACCTATAAAAAATCCACTATAATAAGCTTTTTTTTGGTCAACCGGCTATTGCTTGCTCTTTCATCACCAGCAGCTGCAGGTTAGCCTGTAGTTTGCCCATGCTTTTTGTTTATCCCTATAACATCCACAAAGCTGTGATTTACAAATCCTACCAGCACCATTGTTATAATTGTTGGGGTATTATTAGTTCAGCCTACTTGCTGGAGTGCAGGAGGATCACATGAGGCCTCGAGGGGGATGGGCAGAGCGTTCAGAGGGTGGTGTGGCTTTAAGAGTTTACTACCATCACTTCGCTCACTCACTCGTGCACACAGCAGAAAGTTTGGAGACCAGGCAAGCGCTGGGATACCGACGGAGGAAGTGACGGGACTGCGTGAACTGCAGAAGAAGCAAAAAAGAAGACGGGAATATCAACACAAAGCAGGCTGAGTAGCAACGTGTGGTCGTCGGACTGCTGGCTGTAGCGCTCGGGGAACGGAATTGCGCGTGATTTGGTTTATAGCACCGGAGAGAGACTTTCAATGGAAATGAGCTGAACTCCCAGAAGTGAAAAGGTTTTACTAAGGGGACTGTCGTCTGATTTCCATGACCGTGTGTGTAATTCTGGGAAGTGCTGGCACACAGGGGACCATATGGAACTCCGACCTGCAGCTGTAACCCTTCTTTGAATATGAAGGAGAAGACTTTACAGAAAATCCAAGGAAATAGTTAGGGGACATGAACACACATCTCTGGATTTCACCCCGAGTTTTCCCTCTGTCTCGTTCAGTTTTGCGCCTCTGGGGATGTTTGCGAGTTGCATGTCTGCGCCTTCGGTTCACACACTGACCCGTCTGTGCGCCCTGGTGCTGGTCCTCGCTGTGGGACTCGGTTCAGAGCTGCGGGTCAGAGTCCGGCTTTCTGACGGACTGGTGACTGAGGAGGTTTTGGAGGCGGACAATGAGAGAGACTCCATATCACTCGAATTTAAGCAGGGAGACGGAACACTCATCACTTTTGTGGTGGACTTCAAACAGGTGAGAGGTGGTGCTGTCAACTACTTAGACTAAACTCTGTTGTACCTGGAGGGGACGTTTCCTCCTCCCTAGTACGGACAGTATTGCGATTTGGAAGGTGCCGTTACAAAGCCTCATATTGCTGCAAGTTGTTGTTTCTTGTATCCAAGGCCACTTCACGGTACCAAAAATAAAGGGTGGGCTCATCAATGATCACTGAAGTCTTCAGGAGGTCCCCAACTATTTCAAACATTAATACAGAATTTATAGTTAGAGAGAAACATGCATTCATTTAATGAGTCTTGGTCATCCTTAAATTTGTGATAAAACCAAAATCACACTGTACCTCGTTGGGGACCTCCTGGAGACCTTACTGATGGGCCAAAACTTTCACTTTTGAGAAACACACACTTAGACTTCAATACAGTTTCACTTAACTGCTTCCCCTCAGGACAAAATCTGATTAAACAGGGGTGTGTTTACCATAAACAGAAACCTCGGCTTTCACAAATCCAAGTCGTGTATCAGATGTGGGGGTGGTAGCCCAAAAACCAAGTGTGATAGATGTCTGCTTGTTTACCTTCTCCTCAAAACCTTTTACCACATTTTTTTATTCTCTCAAGGCTGAAAAACAGTAACCACAATGACCTCTTTCTTCAAATTCAACTTTCACTTCTAGGCAGGGATACAGGTTCATATATCTGACCTTAAAGAAAACCATCCCAAAGGTCTAAAATGCCCTGGATGAAATAATGGAACTTGGACCTATGACTAGTAGTGTCATTCATCTTTTTCCATCTGAGCAAGTCTCACAGAGGCCAAGACAGCTGCTGCTCCTTAGATGTGGCTAGCTTAGAAAACCCCTGCTGTTCTTGGGTTCAGCCCAGAGCTGATTATCGGTGGCCATATTTAGCATTTTTTCTTAAAGTAGGCGTGCAGATCAAGTATCCTTCTGTAACCAGAATTACATTAATGATTTTTGCAAATATGACACTATATGGCAATCACAACTCATAGGAACATAAATGTCAGTCCTGGAAGGAACACTACAACTGATGTGTGCGTACATCGGGGGGACTTGGAGCAAAGGCATGCGTCTGTGATGGTTGCTGTCACACAGAAGCTGACAGGCTGGCGAGATGTGAAGTGGGAGATTTACCAGGATTAAGTGGGCATGTCCGACCTTTTTGATCACCACATCTGGTTCACTAAGCAAAACAGCTAATTTAGAGATGAAAGAGAAGAGGCTGTCGCCCCCAGTCACTGGTGACACGCCAAGACAAAAGAGACACACACCGATCTGTGAGTCTTTGCTTGGCTGCGCCGGCACTTCATCTCTTAATACATGCACACACTTAATACGCACATGTGGGTCTGCATTTGAATAAAAGCAACAGAACCTCTTAGAACACTTAACTTTTTCACTGCCTGGTTTATCTGTTCTACACCGCTCTCTTTCTCCCCTTGTCCCCCACTCTGTCGTTTGCTCACTTTGTCCTGTTCACTCCACGTTTCTCCTGCATGTGGTTTTCATTTAGTTCTTGTGTAGTATCTCCAAGATTTATGGGAAATTGGATGAGCTGTCTCTTCCAGCTGCTTTGATGATACAGTCCAGATGAATGCATGTGGGAAGAAGATCATTTTAACAGGGAAGTTAAACACTGGAGAGTTAGACTGGCTTACACAGCCTAAGGTGGATAGGTACTGTAGAGGCAAAAGTCCTCTTTGGATGTTTTCTGGTCCTCATCATTAAGTGAATGTGTTTTGTCTGACAAGCGTTTCATTTGTGTCTCAGGGTTTTTATGTAATGTGTAAGATTTTTATCGGGATCATTTCCCAGTGGAACTCTATATAGATAATCAGACAGCAGCAGTCATTCTGTTTGCTGCTATGTGAACATGTGGCAAAGATGTGATGGTGAATGTTATAGCCATTAGCAGAGTGGTCTGCTGGATGTGAGAAGGAAGTTTAGTCAACCTTATCCAAGCAGTGAATCACTGTTAGTATCAGCCGTACTGTGATTTCAGGAGATTTCCGTTTTCTCTGTGGACATATGGAAAAGATGATGTGGTTTAGCTCGCTTATGGCACCTATGTACGTTGTTGAGTAAATCTGAACCACTGAAACCACTGAAGAACTGTTATTATCATTTTATGAAAGAAAGAAATCATGGGTGGGAGTCAGTCATCCAGTATTTATTGTCCACACATGTTTGTAGCTCACTAAATTTGCTCAAAAGTTTCAGTGTCATCAAGGGACTTTATGTTAGTAATTTCACTGTTTCATTACTGTCTATTATCACTGACATCTTCACAGCTGAATCTACTCTAAATTATCAAAAATTGCAACCATCTGTCTGTAGAACAGTAATATCCCGATGACATGTCTGATGTCAGTGTAGATTTTGCCACACGAGACAAATCTGAACACAGATGTGCTGTTGCTAGTCATTTGTTAGTTGCCAGTTCAGTGCAGATCTGATTTTTTTTTATTTATTTATTTATTTTTTATTTCAGCAATCACTGCAACAGCTTATGGTCTAAAAGAATCTAAAGACCTTGAGCGGAACATAAACCATGTCTTGGAGAGTAATCCAAGGGAAATGTTTCACATATTTGAGAGGCTGTGTTGGGTCTTTCCAGATGTATAAACTTTGTCAGAGAAGCTAATGAGTTTGCACTCATTAGTGCCTTGCCTTTTATGTTCAACTAGTGGCTTTGATCAATGCAGGAATGTGAGTGACTTCACGGGCCTCTCAGCTGACTTACTTTTGTGGAAGGTGTAACTTCTGGGCTGCAATGGTGCATTCTCTTGTACATCTACACCTTGGTTCTGTAATGACACATCTGACAGTTTAAACAAAAATCAGTACATCTTTGGCAACACTAATGCAGAATAACTTAAAAAGGCAGCTGAAATTTGAAAAGCGTTCATGGCACAGTAGTGTTTTCAGATCACACATTTTGGCCAAAATCTTAGAAGCCACTTAAGACAAAGCTTTGATCACATCAATCACGTTAGAATTTTGAAAAGGTTTCATTATCACAGTTCATAATACAGCATAAAACTACTTTCAAAGTTATCCGCAGAGACTGCATCTCTTGTGTAGGCCTGGCTTTAGTAGCCGTTTTCACGCATGAACTCCAGACTATGTCCGTGGAATGTTTGTCCAGAAATGCTCTTTCATATATGTAGCACACAACAGGAGATAGTCTGTGTCAGGCATGTTGTCACCTACTGGAAATGGCTTATGAGAGTGGGGGCCCTGGAGCAGAGTGCGCAGGAGAAGAAGCATGACGTAGCCAGTTTGTAGCTCTTAACAACAGAAGTTCTCGAACCATGTCATGTCTCCATTAGCTATTTTGTTATATGCTGCTGTTTTTCTCACTCCAGCTCACTCAGGCATTATGTGGACTTTGTACTAGGGAGCTGACAGGGTCAAGTCCGCTTAACGTCTGGGCCAGCTGACTCAAAATGTTTGTGTTTTCACATACAAGTAGAGCATGGATCATGCTGCAAATATATATTTCTGCCCTAGACTGACAAGCTTACAGTACATAATGTCATAACCTGACCCAAGCCCGATAGAGTTGAGTTTGTGTGGTGTTTTTGCCCTTATCATTAAATGAAGCAGAAATTTGAGTGCTTCAGCCATATAGCTTAAAGTTTGACCTACGTGTCAGACCCGGCCCTGACCCAAACATAATGAACCTGGTCCAAACCCCAGGGTACGGATGAGTCCTGTCGGGCTTGGTCCGGGTATCTACGCTCTACATACAGCTCCTCTGGGTAATGTCTAGATAATTTCAAGGTTCCACTGCATGTCTGAAAAGGGCTAGTGACACCCTGCTGTGCTGATGGATCAAGGAAGCAACAGATGGTGGGAAATTGCTTCACTCTCACACTATCATGTTAAATGGGTCTAACAATGGCGCCATGGTGTGAATGAGCACATCAGCCATTTAATTAATTTTCTTTTCATTTCAGCTTTATAAACCGGATCATGTTTTAGTCTGGGACTGTTCCGCCCTCAGGTCAGTTTGCTCTAGTGTTTATTCTGATTGTCTTCAAAGCACCAAAGCTTTATGGATACGCCCAACAGCAAACTTGCTGTATGAATGAGCTGGAGGATCTTCACACACCCTTATGTGCTATGTCAAAAACAGAATAAGCGTTGGGAGGGGCAAGGTAGGTTGGTTAGCCTTTCAGTGTATGTGCCTGTTGAATATACGTACAGTATCTGTGACCCATTTGGCAGATGTCCATCGCTTGTCCTCTCAGAGCCTTCACATATTGTGTATCACCCATTAAAATTGTTCAACTGGATTTGGACTGTAGCCTTTATTAGCTATTAGGCAAACTGACTTTCCTGTGTAGGAGGCTTGATGGCATGTTTCTTGTGTTTGGGAAATACCCCTGTTTTTCCAAATGAAACAACTGCTGGCTGTTTTTTCCTGATTGCAGCCGTTCTATATCAGTGACAAGTCAGCGCAGTCACCACATTTTTCCCCTCACTATTTTATTTACTGCCGCCCTTTGGCTCCCACTCAACCCTGAAACACCATCCCACTTTGTCACTTGCACAGACTTGTCTATTTACAGGTAAGTGCCACCTGTTCCAGGAAATAATGTTGTTTCAGACGCATTATAGGGACACATGAGTAATGAGCCTGTCTTATAGAGTCATCGATGAGTCATTGGCAGTCAGTCATTCCCATGAAATTGTTTCACAGCGTAAGTGAAAATGAAACAAAATAAGCTTCAGCTTTCCATCCTTACCTGAAATACATACTTATATACTCAGATATTCAAGCTTTTATGTTGAGCAGTACCTTGGAAGACCTCTACTACTACTGAAGGACTGGTTCTTGTTACCATTGCTAACTCTGAGAGACAAGACAGTCCAAGTAACTTCAAAACAGTGCTGATTTATTCAAAGGATCACAGGTAAAATTAACATTGCACGCTCAGGTATCTTGCACCTCCAAACTGCTCGCAGGCAGATGTAAGATGAAGGACCC